TACCAGAAGACGACAACATTAAATTCCAAATATTACGCAGCAGACACGACAATCTCCTAGCCGGACACCCAGGTAGATCAAAGACACTAGGACTGATACGTAGGTGTTTCAGTTGGCCGTCTCAGAAGGCATACGTTAACCGCTACGTTGACGGCTGTGATTCGTGCTTGAGGACCAAGACAACATCAACAAAACCTTTTGGAACACTCGAACCCCTACCTATACCGGCGGGCCCCTGGACGGATATAAGTTACGACTTAATCACAGGATTACCACCATCCAACGGTAAAGATAGCATCTTGACGGTAGTAGATAGACTGACGAAAATGAGTCACTTTATTTCGTGCAGAGAAACCATGTCTGCCAAAGAACTTGCAGACCTGATGATCAAGTTCGTATGGAAGTTACATGGCACCCCGAAAACAATCACTTCGGACAGGGGCAGCATCTTTGTTTCTCAACTAACTCAAGAACTCGACTCAAGATTGGGGATACGACTACAGCCATCAACAGCCTACCATCCTCGGACGGACGGACAATCTGAAATTGTCAACAAAGCTATTGAACAGTATCTCAGACACTTTATCACATACCGACGGGACAACTGGGACGACCTATTGGCAATTGCGGAATTCTCATACAACAACAACAACCACACATCGACAGGAGTATCACCTTTTGAAGCAAACTACGGATTCGAACCAAACTTCAATGGCATACCCTCGACAGAACAATGTCTACCAGCAGTGGAAGAGAGGTTAAAGGTCTTAAATAATGTTCAAGAAGAACTGACCGAGTGTTTAATAATTGCACAGGAGAATATGAAAAAACAGTTTGACAAAGATGTACGACCTACACCCAAATGGCAAATCGGCGACCAAGTTTGGCTGAACAGCAAGAATATTTCAACTACGCGGCCAAGCCCTAAACTGGACCATAAATGGCTGGGTCCCTTCAATATCTTAAACAAAATTTCACGTTCCGCGTACAAACTGAACTTACCACTTTCCATGAAGGGCATACACCCAGTATTTCACGTCTCTTTACTTAGGAAACACAACCCGGACAGCATAGACGAGAGAAGACCGCAAGAAACTCAACCAATCAAGATTAGAGAGAATGATGAATGGGAAGTCGAAGAAATATTCGACAGCCGCAAGAGATATAATAAAATTGAATATTTAGTTTCATGGAAAGGATTCACAACAGAACACAATTCATGGGAACCAAGCATTAATTTAACAAACAGCAAGCTATTAGTAGATGAATTTAACAGAAGGTTTCCAAATGCAACGGACAGGCACAAGAGGACACGGAGAAAAAAGTGAGAGGGTAAGCTTTTTCCCACTGGGTTTTTTAACGCTACCCGGGGAAGAACGCAGAACTTTCAAGAGGGAGTTTGGGCGTAAAAGGGGGGATACTGTTATGATCTCAACTATGTAACGAGCGGTGAAAGGCCCAACAATACATGTCACAGATTAGAGCCTATGTTGTATACTATCCACGTTGTACACATCTCTCTTTTCTCTTCATCCGACAATCTGCATACCAAGCCTTGAACCTGGTGGGAAGACATCACTAACCCTCGTCCCAAGACCCCAACCCCAGTCCTAACAATAGACCCATACAAAATACCACCATAATCAGCTAGACCCCGGGTTTGCACAGTATTTTACAGGTATGAGCAAGATTTATGGCATAGATGTTTTTTGAGGATTTTGTTTTTTGTCAATATTAGAATAGCAATATCAAAAATCAAATGAAAAAGGAATGTTTCTCAATGGGGTATCTGACTAATCAACTCAGATAATTAAATGCTTCTTTTGAAGAATATCAAAATCATACTTTCTTTACATGTCCCCACACCTAGGAATTGTAATCATTGGGTTTGGGACAACCCCTGGCCCGCCCCTGCAGAACTTGAATGATTATGTAAATCACTTGGAGGGGACTGTACATTAGACAAACAGAATTTGCCACATGTTGCACATGTTTCTACAAGGATCAATAAGGTTTACAGGGCAAATGTTTTATTGGTGTTTAATAAGCATTGGAATAGTGACACTGAATATTGATCAATAACCGGGGTTTCACAGAGTAGATTAAAGTCAACATAATCATCAGTTTTTTTAGAATCACAACACACAATATCTTAGCAAAAATTCTGCAAACTAGGGCTGTGACCTGACCCCAGCCTCAGCCAGTCAACTGTGCCTGACACTTTCTTGGAAAGAGGCATTCCCTCCCCTGGGGCACCAAAACAAGCTGAAAGTGATTCCAAAAGCCCTGTGGGCGCCCCAATGGCCCCAATGGCCCCAATGGCCCCAATGGCCCCAAATGCCTGGCTGCCTGGTGGCCCATTGTTTTTTGGCCTGATAAATAAAGAAAATGATGTCTATTTTAGTTTTTATAGCTCTCTTGACATCCTAAGTAGGTGCACACAGGTTGGATAAAAAAACAAGACACTTAATCCTGCATCACCCATCAAAAGTTCCCCTTTCTGCCCTTGTTTTTGCACCTGTAATTGATTCAAGGTGTGCCCTGATTGGCCCTGAGTGCTTTTTTTTAAAGTGTTTTTTGGCTAAAGTGCATATAACACTAACTAAACAGTAATATACAGGATTAGTACACCTTAAAAGAGCGGCCATCTAATCAAAAACAAGAATAACAATTGACTATAAGAGAGGATGACATCTTTGAATCAAAGCTTTCAGCTTTTTGCTATTTTGACGTTTTTATTTTTCCTGTTTTTTTTTAAAAAATCCATCTTTAGGCTTTTAGTCCACCCGCAGGAAAGCGATGGACCCCCATCATCAGAATCTAGTTTGACTAGCAACTTTGGGTCTGCTCAGGGCTGAGCAACGTCCCAGGGCTTCCCTGTCACACTCAGGGCCGGGTCACAGCCTTACTACAAACACACTTGTACACCACAAGGACATGCTGATGTCCTAGAGACGTCAGGATTTTTTGCAGGGGAAGGTATATCCTGACAAAACTGATCCAAGGAGCCCGGGTCGGAATCAAAATTTGCGACATCCCACGGGCTTCCAAGGGTGTTCTTATTTAAATGTAGGCCCAGCCCGGCATCCTGAGTGTGTGCTGCGGACGTCCGCATGCACTGACATCCAGAGGACAGCCCAAACGGGGGTGCCGACGGAAGCATATGATCTCAGACAATCCCGATGTCCTTCCGCTCAAAAGCGTCTTTGTGGTGTACAGAAACCCCTGATCTTAGCCATATGTTGTACAGCTGCCTATGGGTATAAGAAAGTTTTATAGGAAATATATGCTTGGGAAGGTTTTTTACTTCAGCATTGGAGAAGTGACACTGCATATGAATTGATGAACACAGTTCCACAGTAAAATCTACAAGATTGATTGAATTTTTCTGAAACTGAAGTTGTAGAGGGTGAGGGCTTCTTCAAGGCACTTAAGTAGATTGAAGACACACTCTACCAGGCTATGTCACAGTGACAATTTCCATGCTCAGGGGTATCAGGTATAGCCATGGCTTCAATCAGGCTCAAGGCTATTACTTTAGAGCATTGAGCAGTGATGTATCTGAGCCCTCATCCAGTGTCACAGCGTCATCAAGCAGCTTGATGTAATGACAAATGCAGAAGGAAATTTTAATATTGATCACCCAATAATCTTGGCAGTTGAATTGAGGAATCTAGTGGGTTTTCAAGGGATTAGTTTATTTTTTTGTTGATTCACTTTTGAGATCTTTCTAAGAGTTTGTGCAAGAGCAAATTGAGGAGGGTATGGGTGGTGCCAAATTTTCATCTTGCAGAATCTTTTGTAACAAAATCATTTTGGAACTATACATGTTTGAGAGTTTGTGTCTTTTTAGATCCTGAATAATCAGAGGTAGATGATTTGAGGAAGGCACTGGAGATAGATACACATCAGATTATGCTTGTAATGATGAGACCAATCTATTCCAGGAATGCAATTCACAAATCAAACCGATTATGCTGAATTTCCTGTCCTCTTCATAAACATTGGATCACTGGTTGAATGCACACTGTGAGTGTCTTCTGATATGTAAAGCTTGTTGAAAATTTCGTGAATAAAACTTGATTGAGTTTTGCGGACAAAAACTTTAGATAAGCTTGCTTTTTAAAAATCTAGTTCAACAACTTGACAAAAATCCAGTGATTCGCAAACGTACAAACAAGTCCCTTGCTTCCTCGTGAAGATTTGCACTCTAAACTTATCAAAGTCCCCCCGCCCGCCCGAGTATGTAGTTAAGGGAGGTTCGCACTCAAAGCAGTGCAGTCTGAAAGTCAATTTGTTTCCTCTTGCCTTAAGATTCCACAATTGACAAAAACTGATGAAATCTACACAGCAAAAAAAGAAGTTCAAACCAATCAAAAACCCAATTCATGTCCACCACTTCTTAAGTTCTTTAGACAGATCCTTTCTTGATTCACTTTACAGTTCAAAAAAACCAACTTTCTATCATATGTAAAATAAACCAATCTACTTATTCTTTTTACAAAACACCCTATGCGAGCTCTCAGAACTTAGAAGGGACCTCTCTTAAACAATTCAAAACCAAAACCCACCATGTCTGTTTTGAGGTAGCATGTCGACGTGCTCACACCAATCAATTTCCGTAGAGGGTGGATATAACCTACAAACAGGTCTGAGAGCTAAGCATACAATTGCCTTTGTCAAGAGGGTCAGACAGCAAGTGTGTTAAATGGGCTCCTTTTTTCATAGTTCCATTGACAAATGGTACATTTTTGATTGTCTATTATTATTAACAAAGGATTTGCATTTTCTAGAGACAAATTGAATAAAGATCCGTTCAAATTTATTACACAACTCTCCGTGTGAGCACATCGACATGCTCATGGGGGACGGACATGGTGACCTATACTAGATTTGATATAAGTGATTTCAAGGGCTTGAAATTGAGTTCATTGCTTGAATCTTAGATTGATGATCAACATTTGCTAAGGTGATCTGAGACCTGATAACAAACAGAAAAGAAGATATGTACCTGTAGTAAATTGCGATACGTAAATAAATACAAAGTTGAATAACCCGAAAAAACCTACGGATTTAAGAATAGAGAACATAAAGAAAACAACAAGTTATATATTTTGGATCTCAGATTGATGATTTATAATTGATATATTGTGTTGTTGATTTATTGAATTTTTCAAAAGTATTATAAATCACTCCTAAAAGACTAACATACCTCAAATCTCCATATTATATTTTAAAATTATGAACAAAACCCTTTAAAACATTACTATGTGTTCATCTAATCAATGACAATTGGTAAATGAATTCCTAAAATAAGATATATAATTCAAAATTTACTCAGTCATGTTAACTGAATCCCCATGTAAGATAGAAAAAAAACACTGACCATCTTACCTAACGATCTACATTCATCTAACAAGTCTTTTAATTTGCTTTTGCCGATCATCCTCAAGTTGAACTTGTAATAGATGAAATTGATTTAGATTTACGTTCAAGTCGATCAAGATGTCCATGAATTTCATTTGACAATTTACTTAATCTTTCATCTTTCATGAGATTAAGTTCAGATGACAAATCAGTATACCCAAGAGATTTTTCAAACCACTTCTTAGCTAAATCCAAACCCGGTTGGTTCGAAGAAGATTCATATCGGATTCCAAGTAAATTAGAAGCCATAATAGCAGTCGTTCGAGCTTCAAGTCTAAGTTCTTGAAAAGGTTCACTTAATCTACCAAACGATTTTCGATAATGATTTGTTTTTTGAAAACTTTCATTAGAGTATTGTTCAAGATCTAAGACCGAATCAAGTGAATTGATAGCTAATTCACATAAATCCTTCATAGATTCATCTTTTAAATTCTTGGTCACATAACCTAATTCAGCAAGATAAACTTGGGCTAAAGCTTCTCGTGTCTTTAACCAATTCTTATGTAAGATCCCATCTGGTGAATTACCAAAGTGATGATGATCAACCGATTTCGTAAGGAATTCTTGAACGCGTCCTTGGAGATTATATGCTAAGTGAGTGTCCAATGAAACCAGATGGACTATAAACCTTGTGAGTGCTGTGATCATCGCCCGACTAGCTGCCGGTGAAAGAGATGAAGTAGCAGACGTGATGGGACTGGTTGTCTGTTGTGACTGATTGAGAGCATCTAAGGAGCTTTCGAGTAATAGTAATTCAGCTTTGAGGGGTTGATTTATTGAACCAGCTTTAGGATCGTCATCTGTCTGAAGGGCTTTAGTGTTCATCAAAAACCCAAACAATCCAGCTGGACTCTTGACATCCGATGATCCATCCAAACCATCCATCTTTTTCCGAAACAATTCACCATCACCCAAAGCTAAACCCAAGCCTTGAGTGACCGACCATATCAAGTATTGCTCAGCTGCTCTTCTAGCAGTTTCAGTCGCCATCGAATCGAGTGAAGGATCAATGCTCGAAAGTTTTAATCCAAGATCACCAAGCCGATTAGCCAGTCTCATTCCTTCTCTACACTCCCAAGAATCTTTTCCATCTGATCCAAATCGATCCATGACCCTCACACAAGCTTCCCAAAGTTTTTCATAAGTCTGATGAGCTTTTTGAATGCCTAAAGGTGTATTGATCCGTTCACAAACCAAAGCTAATTGTGATTCTAATTCGATGATACCTCTGTTCAGTATCCCATCTTGATGTAATTCCATTCCACCTTGTCTTGCAAGTAATAAAGCTTCTTGTAATCTACTTTCAGCGATCGCAAATCCCGAATCTACCATCCAACCATCACGATCGATAAACTGAGCGTCAGGTTGAGACAATGCACGTTTTCCAGTTTGCCAATGAGAAGCTACCCAAGCCGCTCGTATCAATGACCTAACCTGCCATCCGAGTTTCGGATCTGTACCTCCACCAAGATATCCAGCTCCCCAACCATCTAATTCTTCTTGCCAACCATAAAGCTGTTGATCTTCTCGATAAATTTTCGAACCGTTTTGACCCATAGGAAGTTCAAAACTTTCCACCCAAAGATGAACTCCTAAGAATCCAATACCTACTGTTGTACCAAGCCCAAGAGTCGTATAAATCAAAGTTTTCAAAATCCTTCCGATGGTATAAAATGCAACTTTCGCATCTGATTTAGTATCTGTTAACATCGCAATAGGTTCTTCATGATTGGTAGGACCACTATTCAAAGAAGCAATGATTTTGGTTTTAGAAGTTGAGCTCGAGTATCTTGAGTCTGAACCGAACTTTTGGAACCGAGTCGAGTTTCTAATCGAATTGGAAATACAAGGTATCCTTGGGGTATTAAAATGTCTAGAAGCTCGTAGAGCTTGTCCACCATGAACCAGGAAGCATCGGGACATCACTCAAAAGGGACTTGCTGATCCAGTTTAAGGTCACAAGTATGGTTGCCAATGAATTGAATAGGTTAATCCTAATACGAATGAATAAGTTTAGTTCAAGATTATTAGATATCATGGTTTTTATCAGATATTTTGAAAACCATATTCGAAAGAAACAAACTTGATAGCTTACCTGATTGTCCAATGTCAACGAAAGCAAATCAGATCAAACTGGTGTGGTCAAACAAACTCACGGGAGTGATCTGGCACCGATGATCAGTTGATCGGGTCAACATGTCGGGTAGTTTGTCAGGAATTGTGGTCATCTCATTCTCAAGCTTGAGAATGAAAAGTGTCCCCAAAAAAGTTCCAAAAATCTTGGGCATTAAGCTTGGTATTATCAATTAAGTTCAGAACCAATTCTAACAACCACAAATCACAAAATCCTAAACAAAGAAATCTGAATATAACCTCCCTTAACCTAAAAGATAATCTCACTGAATAATACTCAAAGAACCAAGATAGTATAATCAATTGGTTTGGTTTACAAATTAAACTTGAATCAATCAACTTTAAATAAACTGTGATGTATATATTTAGAAAAAAATCCTAAACAAAGGAAAATGAAATTACTTCAAAGTGATAGAATAACAAAACATCTTTCCTCAAACTTGATGATTTATCAAACTGATTCCCAAAAGTAAAGTATAGAAAAAAATCAATCCATAGAAAAAAAAAAGAACAAACCAATGAAATAAATAAGAAGAAAACAAGACTTGAAAATGGTGGTAAAAGGTAACAAAATCCTGATTAGAGTTTACTAAACCAATCCTTCTTTTCAAGTTCTTCTTTCATTCCAATTCCGAAACTGCCCTCTTCTTCTCAATAACATCTCATCCAAGAAAGATGGATGTTCAAGACCTCACCATTCCTTCTACATAAACCGCACCTCTTGAACCACCAAACTGATCATGTTGATACCTCCAAGACCAATTCTCTCTTGTTAAATCTAATCGAATCGAAAAAAAAAACAAAATCATCAGTAAATAAAAACAAAACTCAAATCCAATCCAACAAAAAAAAAGATTTACATCTCGTGATAGCAGGTAACAAAACAGGCGTAGATTTATAAGAATGTTTACCGGCTCCAGTGATGATCAACAAAGGCGAGTTTTGTGAAGGTTTCTCATCTACATCACCACCACCCGACCGCCCCGACCAAAAAAAAAGATAACAAAAACCTAATGAGTTCAAATCATCAAAAGAGAAAAGCAGAAGAGGAAAAAAAAACGTACGACTAGATTCCCAACGATTCAAAAAATCACGTGTGACAGCCAAAGCTTGAATCCTACTTAACCCATGCAAATCAACACTTCTAGCCATCCCAGCCGGACCAGGATCAAGAACGGTTCTTTCTCTCACTTTAGCTTTCCCAGCTTCTAGTTCCCAATACTTTGCTTTCAAATCATACTTTCGACCTTCTTCTGCATAAACTAATGCACCACCTCTTCTGCTCTGGATCGATCGACTTGTTTGATAAGCTTGAGCTGCTTGACGAAAGGCATGGTCTCGTAACTGACGATAATGTGATGCTTTTGAAATACAAGTTGTTTCTGATACCCGATGGATCGGATCTGTGCCCATTTGGTTTCGTGTTCCAACCAAGCTTCGGTTAGGTTTTGATGAAGAAACTTGATGAAATCCAGATGATTGATCCGATTCAATAAGTTTCTGATCTGATCCGGTTTGATGAATTGGTAAACGATGAAAAAGGTTCCAGATCGTAGTCCCTTCACTTATGAATAATTCATCCAAGAATCGTATCAAATCAAAAGCCGAATCAGGATCATTAAAAGTGACAACCAAGAATCGATTTAAGAAAAGTTGATCTCGATCAGGTAAGAGTTGTTGAAAAGTTTCCAAATTAGATGTAAACCTAACCAACTCATCTTCCGAAAAAGCTTTGATCAATTCACTTCTTTCGATAACCAACTTATTCAAAACTTCTTCTAATGCTAAAACTAAATTACAATGATGACGAAGATAAGCGGTTTTGATCTTCGATGGATCAATCTTTAATAAATCGGCTAAGAAATCTGTTTGACTGGCTAAGATCACCCATTTGTTTTCGGGAATCCCATTCGGTCCATCTTCTTCTGCTTTCTTTTTCGCTTCATTGATCCTTTCTCGTTCGTCTCCACGCATCACATCAGTTAGATGAATCGTTTGGAATCCTTTCTTGTTAGGTTGTGGTTTTCGTTTAGGTGAAATCTTTTTAGGAATAGGATGTGATCTACTCTGATCTAAGTTGTCTGATGTGTTGATCGTTTCGAATGGGATCGAATGAGTTTGTAATAAACTATCAACTGCTACTGATAAATCCACCAAACTTGTATCCGAACCTAATGCATCTTGTAAAACATCTATAGCTAAAGATGGGAACATACATTTCAATAAACCGATTGGAGAATCATCTGGTTTTGAAAGGTTACTGGATGTCTCTTGATCGTCATCAGAATTGATAATCTGAGATCCATCTTCAAGAACCGTCGTACAACTACTACTACTTTCATCCGATTCGAAATCCGCCTTAGATGAAGCTAAATCAATTTGAGTTTGTTCAAGATCCCAAGCATCTAAAACCTGATCCATTTGCCTATCATCTGTTTCATTTAAACCTAACCCGATGTTTATTTCTTCTACTGATTCTTGATGGGTTTGAACTTCTTTTGATAATCCAATCAGGATTTCTCTTGATGATCTTAATCCTTGTTCGGTTTCTGGATAATCTGATGAGATTGCATAGATTAAAGATGTATCTATGTTGGATGAGAATTCGGTCAAGAGGGTTTGGATGTTTGATGAACTTGGTGTTGGGTGAGTCGAACTTGACATCTTGGTGAATGAGTTGAGATTGATGAATGGTAAAATGTGAATAAGATGGGTACATTCCAGATCTGATGGAGTCTTTCTTTATAGTTTGTTGTTTGAGTTGGTTCTGACTGAGTTGAGATTTGAGGCAGATGGCTGATGAACTGATTAGATGGATCAGTCACTCTGAGGACAGACTCGATTTAGCGTGGTTGGATTAAAGGATTTCAGATTTAACTACTAAATTCAGCTGTTAAGTTCAGATTAAGTGACCTATTACCCTACCAGTTTAGTAGTATTGTCCTGCTGAGTTAAATCTGTGATTGTTTTTGAATGTGACTGTGACTGTGAGTGTGAGTGTGAAGCAGTCATTTGCTCTGATTTCCGATCAAAATGAGAAATCAACTCAACAAGTTCATCAAACCATTCAAACCATTCAAACCATTCTCATCACTACTACCTCATCAACAAATCAATCATACCAACCCATTCCATTCACATTCAATGTCTTCAAACTCAACATCGGCCCACCAAAGAACCAAGATGCTCAAGGCTCATCTCCATCAACCCATCCAACGTACCCTTTCCAGTGGGCCAGATCAGAGCCTTTCAAGTAAAGAGGTACGAAGAACCTCTCATTCATCTTATTCAACCATCTCTCGATTTCTGATCTATTAAACCTTCTTGGCTTTTCGAATGCGTGCACTTTTAGCCTTTGGTCCTTACTCACTCAGATGCCAATATGCGGATCATGACTCTCAATCGACCTTCGGTTTTGAATGCATTGAATGCAGAAATGATCGAAACCATCACTTCTCGTCTGATCGTGAGCCATCACAGAAGATTTTTTTTTTCAAATGTGTTTTAACTTTTAAATGTTAATTTTTAAATCGTCATGATCATCGGTGCTAGGAATGGGAAAACAGTAAAGAAGCTAATTTGATCATACTCAAGTCTAATGGTCGAGCGTTTTGTGCAGGAGGAGATGTAGTTTGTAAGTTGACTTGTTTGATCAAAACCTCACTCAAGGAAAAAACAAAAAAAAACAGAAAGCTAATTTGTTTGATCGTATTCGAAAATAGCTATGACAGAAGCTGTAGCATCAGGTGATCCCAAAAAAGAACGGATGGCAGCATCATTTTTTCAACAAGAATATGCACTAAATAATTTACTGGCCAAGATGTCCACTCCAGTGGTTTGTTTGATGGATGGAATCACTAGTAAGTTTTTCGAATGCGATCACCTTTAAAATTTGTAAAAGATCATGAGTTGACATTTAGAATTGATGGGTAAAATGGTTGATGTTTAGTGGGCGGAGGACTTGGATTATGTATGCATGTACCGTTTCGGATCGCAACTGAAAACACAAGAGTGGCCATGCCCGAGGTAAGGTAATACCTAACTTAACTTTTAAAACAGACCAGTCATCACCCCCCTCCCAAAAATAATGCCAAGAGTGATCTTGATTCAGATCTCTTGGATCTTCTTTAGACCACTATAGGTCTCTTTCCAGACGTAGGAGCTACCTTCTTTTTGCCTAGGTTGGATGGTGAATTGGGTACCTATTTAGGTTTGACGAGTACGAATTTGTTTGGTTGGGGAGCTTAGTGAGTTTTGATTAATCTGCTTTGATGGGTTATTAGAAAGAAAACCATCGGGTGATGAAATGTTAATGGAGTTTTGTGAATTCGATGTAGTCAAGCAGGTTTTGCATCTCATTATGTTCCTTCATCTTCACTTGGAGCACTACAAGATCGTCTATTAGCCATGTCAGGTGATTTAACTTTTGATCGAATCAATGATGCGATCAATGAGTTCTCAGCGGATTCGATCGATGGACCTTCATCTAGTAAACCTTACGAATGTGTGGGTTCACAACGACAAGCTATTGATCATTGTTTTAAACAAGACACAGTTGAAGGGATCATCATCCAACTTGAAGCTGTTGAGAATGGAAGATTGTTCTCAGGTGAAGGGTTAGAAGGATGGGCCAAACGAACTAAAGAGACAATCTTACAACGTAGTCCGACTAGTTGTAAACTTACTCTTATGGCACTTCGAGAAGGAAAGAAACTTGATATTGATGAATGTTTTGCAATGGAATTACGATTAGCAGTGACGTGTTGTGTAAGTATATTGATCATACAAAGTTTCATAGTAGGATTTTTGATATTGGGCTGACCTTTGGATTGGTTTTTCTAATAGGATATCAAATCACATTCCGATTTCGTCACAGGTGTGAATCATTTATTAGTGAAAAAAGAAAAAACACGTGCAGCATGGAATCCAAACACACTAGAAGAAGTAGATCTAACCTCATTAAAACGAAAATTCTTTTCCAGCCAAGCACCATCCAGTACACATTTACTTTCACCTATCTATCATTCCACATCCCTTAAAGCTTATAAATCGTATCCTTTTTCGAATTATGCTTTACCAAGTGAATCATTGATTAAAGAGTATGTAGTAGGGAATACAAAGGAAAGTGGAAGTTTTGCTTTGACTCAAAAGGAATTAGTGAATGTCTTACAAAAGAAATGGATTAATAAGTTGGGCGTTAAGGAAAAGGTTTTGGAAGTTTTGAAGCGTAGGACGGTTGAAGGGAGTGAAAAAGAAGGAAAGGTTTTGAAATGGGAGTATTAGATGGGTTTTTTGTTTGTGAAGGAAGCAGGGGTTTTGTTTATAAAAAACAAGTTTTTAAAAGTTTTAGAGGTGCTTTTTTTTCTTTGGGTTGATCTTTGTTTATGATTTTTTTTTTGAAGAAATCAAAAGTAATACATCAAGAAATCAAGTTACTTAAATTTCACAATCACCAATAATTGATCTGATCACACATTTTCTTCTGATCGAGGGTATATATGATTCTTTTTTTGTTTTGAGAGATAGATCATGACCCGGAAGAAACCTTGATGGATTTGATTTTTTGTGGGGTTTAAAAGTACATATGATAAATGAGAGATGAAAAAAGCTTATAAATGATCAAGGGATTCAGTAACCCCTAAGCCTAAGCCACACTGTGATCTAAGACCATCCGGTTCAACTTCTGCCTGTCTGGCTTGTGGCTCCCTACAAACCACCTTGACACTGTCCCTCAATATCTCAGACTCTAGCCAAATAAAATATGACAACAATAAATAAAGAGATCAACTCTGAGGGGTTCTGCCAAGCTGCTTGATGTATGGAAAGTTGAAACCAATGTACAGTATTTGGTATATCCAATGATTGGAATTGCTTCAAACAACCCTGGGCCAGCAATGCAAATGTTGTGTGCTACGCTGCGTGTGCGTTGCGGGCTTTTTGACGGCACCACACTGCATAATCAATATATATGTTGGGGCTTGACCTGCAGCCCAACAAGATCACTGGGGTCTGTGTTTTTTGGGCCACAACAACATTTGTTGCATTGTTGCTCACAAAAAAAAATGTAATTCAACTTTTTTTGGCACTGTTGCACAACAGTGGAGGCGCCACACAACCCCTACGTAGCTAAAGGCTACTCTGTACTACAATCTTCCCTGCCAGGCCCAAACCAAATTTTGTTTTTGAGCTCAAGAATAGAAACTTCAATACCAATGTTTCAAGGAGATAACTACATGGGTAGAATCAGATGAGGGAGCTTAATCTTTCTATATCTTCTCAAGGTCATCTGAGGCATTTTTTTATTTTTTTTCTCTCTTGATGGTCAACATTTGGGACCAGACATAGGATAGGTACCTAAAATCACTGCTTAGGCACCTCAGTAGCTTTGGTTTCAAGTACCTATGACCCTAGATAAGCTATCCTAGGGCCTCAGGTACTCAGCCTAAGCCCTCTGGTACCTACTCTATGTTCCTATTTGTCCATCTGGGGTTATTTTTTTTCTGAAAAAAGTCTCAACATTTGGGAGCAGTGCCAGATCTGGTGGTGAGAGGTAGCACAGAGTAGCCTTTAGCTACTGTAGCCTCATTTTCATTGTGGCTGTACTGTGGCCACGCAGCACAAGTTGCTAAATTTTGTGGCTTGTTGCGGCGCAATGCAAAAAAAAACACAATGTTGTGGTATGTTGCGTTGCTGGCACAGGGTTGCTTCAAACACCACCATAATCATCATCATCATACCCAACTCCAGCACTTTTTTGTGGTCAATGTTGGATCAATAGTCAAGACAATCAATGGTTTACAAAATAGAAAGAAACAAACACTAGGCTAGGAAAGGCTTGGATGCCTTAGAAATTCATGTTTTTTTCTTCAACTTGTTTTCATCTTTTTTTAGCTATCCTGACTCTGAGGGAATGCCCCCATGCCCCCACCAACAGGTATGCCTTCAAAAGTTTCAAAATGAGCACCCTGGCGCACCCCCACGTGACTTGCAACATGATGATGGTCAGTAAAAATTGTGAAAAAGAACAGTTGTTGATAACTTACACTTGTTCTCTTTCTCTGTCTTGGTCTTCTTTTTGTTTTGTTTTGGTGTTTTGAGACAGCTTATTGGTGGTGGTGGTGATATAGGAGTGGTATTTTTGAAATGTAATAGATGGAGATGAGGGGGATATCAATGAGGAAATGATTGGGTGGACTGTGGTTAGGTTACAAATCTGTTAGATAATTTACCCTGGCAGGAAGTATACACCTGTAATTGCTGTCTTGGACCGGTGGTGTTGAACAAAAAAAAAGTTCAAAAGTTTGCACCATGACACAAATTTGCAGAACATCTCTATGTTACAGTCAAACCTGCGCAAACACATAATTTGGGGGGACAACTTTTGCTATGCATTATCACGGGTTATGCAATTCTTTTGTCAAATTTGGCAGTAAAACCCATCAAGATTCATGATTTTTTCTATGCATTATCACGGGTTATGGAACTGCGCAGGTATGCATTTGCGCGGGCGTGACTGTATTTACACTAATTGTGGACTAAAACCTTCAGTACCAGATTTGATCATCCTCACTCCTCCACAGATATCTTGTATCACACTAATCCCAGAAGATTACCTCCCATCACTGCCAGCAAAGATACCTTGGATGTAGATTCCCTCAGACTGTGTGTCTGAGGAATTCATATGAGACTTTCTTTGGCCCCTAGATTATGTTGGATCATTTACTTAGACATTACGTCCAAGGCTATGGCCATCCAATGATACCTTGGATTCTCCAATCCAAGGCATCCTTGTTGGCAATGCATGTACTATCAGCCGTCTCTTTTTCTTCTTTGTACCATGTTGTAAGATGCTTGTCTATATCTTGCATTGTCTCAGTAATACATTCCTCAAGGTACTTCCTAGTTACATCTGCACACCGGATTGCATGTAGAATCACGCTAGCTGGGGGAAACATCAATCAAGACACCCCTTGATAACATGAAAGACAGCCACTACAACAGGTATCAACGAGGAGAAAGAATATTCAAGCCAGAAATGGGTAGAGACCCAATTGTGAAATAACAAGTACTCATGCCACACCTGTGATTGTCACTGTGGTGATTGTGGTTAAGCATGTGATTTCTCTCAATCAGGAATACAAGTACTCAAAACAATGTGATAGGCAATCATGGCACTTCAACTAAACCAACACGCAAAGGCATTGATAGCCCCCGCTTTTCACCTTTGACTTGCGGTCGCATGACCTGGGATTTACCAGATTTTGACCAATTGTAAGACAAAGCCTCAAAAAAGTATCCCAAAAAGAATGACTTACCACATTTATTCGACCTTCAAATTCTGGTCCACAGCCCAAACCGTTGCGTTCATCAAAATGAAAGTGACATATGATTACTGCAAGTATCACTTTCAATTCCATCAGTGAGAAGCGATATCCAATACATGCCCTTGGTCCCCCTAAGAAGGTCATCAAGCCTGACCAAAATCCAGGTAGAGCATTCACTTGACCTTTTTCAAGCCATCTGTCTGGCCGGAATACGTCTGCATCCGGTCCAAAATTTAGATCGATTGAAGGCGCTGATTGAGATTATAATCTCTTCTCCAGCAGCGATGCGAATTGGTTCTCCATCTCCACTCACTGGGATGTTATCATCCATTGAAGCTTGCCTGTTTGTTTGGCTGACAGGTGGAAGAAATCTTAGTGTCTCGCGCTATGAAAGGAAACCGATTCAATGTGCTGATCATGAATATGTAGTACAGTAGTGTAATAGGAAAGAACATCTTACGCAGACCGCGTCCAGGAATGTTAACGAGGTAAGTGTTTCAAATGGGAGTTGTTCTCCACCATCACTGGTTACTACTCTTGCCTCTTGAAGTTCCCTTCTCAACCTTTTCTGGACGTCAGGATGCTTTGCCAGAGTCCACAACAACCAGGTGAGTGCAGTAGCAGTGGCTTAATAAGAAAGGAAACTCGTGCGATGGATCAGCTGGCAAACCAGCATGCCAAGATATATGTTAGGACAATGACTCACTCTCATGTCCGGCTAATAGGAAGGTGGTCATCTGATTTTGGGTAGAATTCCAAGCCAAATGGTGAGTAAGTCTACTCTGGTTGAAACTTATGCTCCAATATATCCTGCATACCTGTCCAATTACTTCTTCATCTCTTAAACATTCCTTCCCTTCAGCCATTACATTCGCACGAAGAAGGACACTTATCAGGTCCTTGTCGCCAAGAACACCTCCGGCCTCAGCCTCTTTCCTCTTTTTAGAGAAAACCGCGCTGCTTTCACGTTCCAGGGTTTTCAATGATTCCTCAATGAGTTTCATTGAGATTGGTTTATACAGCCGCAAGGAAGACGGGATGCTCTGAAGTATATTGTCCCTAAGCATCTTTGGAGGGGTGCGACTCTTGGAGCTCAGTCTCCTGTCGTAGAGATAGCTTCTTGTTCAATGGGTGATGTTAAGACGTTTGTGATAGATGAATTTTTTACTGACATTAGATAGTGGAAGGCTTTTCCCATTTCGCTACTGTTCATGTCCCCTTCCAAAGCTCCGAAGTGGTATCCAAAACCAGCTGAGCCGATCTATACAAAACACATAAGGGGATGAACAAAAAGTGCAAGTTTGAGCCATGCTGTAGGCAGCAATATAAGATATATACTCACGATGTCCAAAGTAGCACGGCTCAGCCAGGCGTGGACGTTGATGACAACATAGGGTTCTTGAGAGCTACGGATTATATCGGCCCATTTGTCTCTCAGCTAAGTTTTCCGTCCCGCGTTCCACGCAAAGTAGAAACAAATTCATTAGCTCCACTGAATAAGGCGATGCAGTTTAATACTTGTATGTACTCACCAAATAGGTGTACTTGTATACGACGGGAGCTAGTTCTCTGATTTGCACAGGAGAAAACGTTGGTCCTAATAAACGCTTCTGTCGTTTGTGAGTTTCCCCTATTCAAAAGTTGGCCGCAATCACATCAAGAAACAAGATCTTTAGAAGGAGGCAGACGCAAAATCTTATACAAATCTTGAAGAAAGGCTGACAGACCTTCAGCAAAGATCAAGCCATGACCAAGCACACCACCAAGGCCACGACGTATTGTATCCGGTTTAGGGTAAGCGTACGCGCGCGAGATCAAGATGTGATTGAGAGCCTTGGGATCAATAGTGCTCAATTGAACGCGCTTTGTTTGGGTATTTTAATATAAGATAATGCAGGAGATATGAAATCCAACCAGTGAAGCATCATCAGAGATGGGGATTCGGTGGAACACAAAAATGCCGAGAAATCACTTACACCGAACATACCTCGAAAACGCAGAGTGGGCCCGAAATCTTTATGCCATTGGCGTACACCTCCTTCAAGACCGAGCTGCAGAAATATTAACGCACAGAGATATCAGAACGAGTGAGGCGCTGAGCATTGTTATACACTCACTACCACGCCCAGGTTTCCAAAAAGTATACTCTCGTTCTGTGGGCCCGGAAGCCGAGAAAGGGGTGAGATGAGAGGTCTGACGAAGAGCAGGTAGACAAGACCCGCGATGCTCAACGCAGCGACTAAGCTGAGGAGAGAGAAGCAGATAAAACGTTGTCAGACAGTCAAGCTACCTGAATGGAGCTTAAGAAGTAGATGTATTAAATCACCCTACTCCATTGAATGGCACATAGGAATCAGGATAATGATTAGAGTGAAAGTCTGTAGAACTCATGTTATGATGAAAGTGATTTGTGTTATGCACTCTTACCCAATCTTATCCACCACTCCGAGGGTGGCATTTATATGAGTCACATGAGCACAAAACTTTAGATATCAACGATGCATGTAAACCTCAAGGCTCAAATCGGCTCCTCTTCACGCTGATCCCCGTGACTAAAAACGCAGGAAGTCGCAAACCCCTAGAGGACCAGACTTCCCCCCGTCCCCTAACCCCGTCGCTACCCGTATATTTCTTTTATCCTAGTAAGTAAAACCAGTTCCTTGAATTAACCTTAACATATCTATCACTTTCGATAAAAAATCAAGATTAAATTGTGAATTTCCCCAAATCTGAACTCAGAACTAAAAGTTCACAACTTGAATCGAATTCAAAAACTTATGAAAGAAATTTAAAAGAATTTACAAATTAAAAAAGATGAAAAAAATTGGATTTATGATTTGGTTTTAAATTTGATTCAAAAGCTTGCTACATTGAAATCTAGTAAAAAGAAACTCATTAAATGATGATAGTTGAAGATGAAAGTTCTTTCAAAGTAAAAGGGTTGGGTACTCTATAATCCTATCTGATCAACCATATTGCATTTACCAGGAATTGTTTTGATTGAAGTGTTGAGTTAATCATATGTGATATTCAATTATCAAAATAAAATAAAATTGTTTTACATGCTGTGATGAGTTAGTGATTGGCATCTACACTGCGGTCCAAATATGATATCATGTTTTGTGATGTCGGTTTGAGAACTATGCTAATGTCAAACATGATATAAGAGAGGAAGGATGAGCTTAAAGAAATTGAACATCGAGCGGTCCTATTTCATAACAACATCTAGTGCTCTCCTACTTTACATCTTTGCTATCTTTCATCCTCATGCCTTCTGATACTTCTGCACGAGCGTCCACCCCAGCTACCCATGACGCAAGTGATCGGTCCGGCGATGATAACCCTACTTCATCTACAACTATAGGAAGTAAACGTGGTCGAGTCAGTTACGTTTGGCACCACTTTACAAAGTTTCCAGCGGCAAAAAGAGGAGATGGCGAGAATGTCGTCGACCTTGTGGCCACAGGTTGAAGGAAGACGCAACTGGAAGCACCAAGTCAATGACTAATCATTTGCGAAGTAAACATCAGATTGGACGATATACTGATGTGAATTATCCATCAAGTTGTTCTGGATACTTCAAGAAACCCAATACTAAACACGTGGTAGGTTTCTCAAGTCTACTGAGCACTCCACTGCACCAATAATACCTGGATGTGGGTTTCTGACCCAGTTTTTTATTGTATAACTTTATACTGTTATTGCGGACAGACATTCAGACTCTTAAAACTGCAATCACATATTTTATGACCGAATACGACCTTCTCCATGCCATGGTTAACAAGGATTCTTTTAGACAACTACTTGTACTCGTAAATAAATCCTCAAACCAACAAGTTCATTTTTCAGCACAAAACATGACACTGAAGCATAACATAATTCTCAGCACATTTTATGCTCCTGTTAGGTCTGTTCCGATGAGAAGCGTTTTAATCAGCATGGGATCTGGTACAACCTTCACCATGCTTACAAAGCAATCTTACTGTTTTGTCCAGGCAGACTGCGTCGTAGGGTGGGAAGTTATAGCCGCTTTCATGAGAACGGCGCTGGTGACTTCCGCAACCCTGCTTTCCAATATATGCACCTGAGTCCCGGAAGGTAGGCACCACCTGGCTTGAAACCCCACTATCGAGCGTTTAAAACATTTATTTGTCAAATGGGGAAGACCTGAGCTGTTTGTAGTCTTTTAGTCAAGAAAAGTTTTGTCAGTCCCTGCCGAATCGAGTGAAAAGAGTTGGCCCGCCTGTTTGGGCATTGTTCTGGCTGCGGCACAGCCTGACGCCTGACAATCACGAATGGTTTCACATTTCAGCTGGCGTTCACAGTTGAGGGACCGCGAGGTAGAAGACATTCTGTATCGCGTCCTTCTCTGACTTGACCCATTCTCACCTTTTTCGGTATTTCCTTTTGAACTCGTGAGTGATTATCATTGGTCATCATTCATGACAAATGTTCTGATTGGATTGTCCTTCTCAACAGATTCGCTGCACTCTGTACACTTGTCACGTTGAACGATTGAAAGTTCTACCCGAACCAATCGACAGACATTCTAACTCAGCATTTATTGGATCCCGACCTCGAAAAAGAAGCTGAGAAGGGTTCCTAGCCACAAGACCAAAGCCCCCAGATATTAAATATTGAAGAAACATCTGCACTATCCTTGTCTCATCGTGAACTTTGACAATTTGATACTCCGGAACGACGTTAAGATAGCAAAGGGCGACGCCTTCCTGAATCAAGGACAAGGCTTTGTCGATAGTTCCGATTCGATTCATATACGGCCAACGGCATCGATAGACACTTAGTCCGCTTCATCACATCGTCTCGCAATTCCCTCAAGTGTGGATCCCGTTTTTCGCCTCGCATCCCAAACGTGCAAACTCGGTGTAGAAATCTTCTCATCACTATGGCTAATCACCTCCTCAACACTTCCGCGACTGTAACGTCACCTTCGAGAGTGAGATTCGAGCCGAATGCTATCGATCAAGATGAAGAGGAACAAGCGAGACTTAGACGCGGGACTGTGTCGCCAGAATTGAAAAACCAAATTGCTCTTCGAAGCATGTTGGGTAGAAAAGGTGAGTGGTGACTTGACATACATGCGCGTAAGACAGAATACACGCAAACTCATTACACACTTTTTTCGCTGCAGCGGTTGAACATGGCTATTCCACTGGACGATCTTTCAGTCGTTCACAGTCAGAAGCCTCTATTTTCCGCCCATTGGTCCGTCCACCGACTACCTCGACCGAAGATCTCGGAAACCCATCCAATACACTATGGGAATCAGGCTACACACAACTTAGTCGCGTCAAATCCACCTCTTCGGTAATCGGTGGCTTGAATGATGACCCTCTGCGAGCTGGTTGGAGAAGAAACGAGCCTGGTCCATTATGGGAGCAGTCCCATGAACTCGAGCCTGATAGGACAGTGATGGCCTGCATTGATGAGGGTGATGGATTTGATCCTGATGAAATCGAACTCGATGGCTCGAACCCGGGATCGTTGATGGGCGGTGACGATCATGTTGAAGACGATGATACCTCCCCTGAGGATCTCGACAAACTTGGAACACTTCCTACCCCGGACACCAACCGCGACTTCATATTTAAGCCACGTGGATTTTCCAAGACTCAGTCGATGCCAGTTGGTGGTACCTTTGGAACTCGCCCCGAACAGCCAGGGTTCCATAGACCATATGACGAGACGTTTATGAGAATGGATGTTCCATTCTAAGTTTGTGACATTATTCAACTCATTCCCTTTTCGTGTTAGTCTTAACATCCCTTTCTGGTTCTATGTTACAGTATTAGGTGGATTTGTTTAGATAGGGTTTGCGTGAATCTCCTTCTCTCATATTTCAATGGTCTCTCGTATTGTTCTGGCTGAAGCTACTATATTTGAACCAATTTCTGTTTCACACGGCAAAGTGTTCTTTATGAAAATATGATCGGTTGTTTTTCTGTTCTTCGAATCCTCTTCAGACTCCTTCCTAAACAGTGCCCATTACAAAAGTCCTTCGATGACGACTTACGAGGTGGAACAAAGCTCGGTCTTTGACCGTGGGAGACGCGATGCCGATAACCATGTGTAAATAGTGTGAAACGTTCTCGCCAAGTTATGATAGTGATGTGTGATTATTATTTTACATTACTCAGCTCCTTGTTCTGAATTTCAAATGCGCTTTTATCATACTTGAAATGCAATGCCTCCTTTTTCAACATTGCCCTCATGTGGCCTTCTGTGATCGTGCCTGAATTGTGGGTCCATGTCGGCTTGATTTACCGTTCTCATATCATCCAATTGGTTCATCCTTTCTGGACAATTTCTTGGAAGTTACATATCAAATCACACTCTTTGGTTTGCATTGTCATACTTGATTTCATCCCGGAAGGCTATCATAAGCTGACTCAGCAAAGTCACCATATATATCTATGCCGATTTGTTTACACTTTGATCAGCTGAAATCCTGGGTATATAGCAGAGGGCAAAGATCTGTCAGCCTTGTTGGCAACTTACTTCTTCAAATGTTATATGGCAGAACTTCACAAGTTTTTACATTAGATTCAAACAACATAGGCAAAGTCGCACTGTATCCAATGGATGATGTTGATCTGCATTGGCATCAATGACGAAAAAGATGACCCAGTGTCAATTGTGAAACTGACAAGTAAATACCCAAACACTTCAAACCTGATTCCATAAGAGATCATATGTGGGGCTGAAATTCACTTGTGCGCAATGTGAACTGCATGTTAGAGAATGTGTTTATCTCAATCAAATCAAGTGCCCTCTTTCAGACAATCGTATCTCTTGCTTATCCCTTATCATCAACTCAAAAGAAAACGTAAAATGTAAAGCTAGTCAGGAAGGGACCAGGGTGAAAAGCCGTAACCTGTTCAAACATAGAGTTTGTACCCCAAAACGATTTCTGATCGGTTTGTTAATACAACATACACTTGTATATCGCATGACGCGGCCACCGAGGTGATGTGGTGTGGACATTGGTCCAATCCGAGACGGAGCTTGGATAGGATGAAGCTTCTGAATGTATTGCTCAGTATAAATAGAGGTCAAAAGGGCAACAACTCATGTTGTATACGTGCGGGACAATTCATGGTACATATTTGGTCAAAATTAACTTTTTCTTGCCAGACGCATGGAGCTGGTATATAGAAAGATATAGTCAAGCGCCTATAAATTACGTCACCGGCATTGGAAGGGATAGTTATATGAACATGCTTAAATACAAATACCCACATAAAGACAAAGATGGCAAGTTATGAAGAAGTAATGGGAATTGAAAGCATGAATCAGAATCAGATACATTTACAAAGTCGATTGAGTTGGATGATGTTGACGATCAGAGAGAAAGATGGGACTGCATCCGCTTCCGATCGGCCTTTCTCCATTCAAGGTGAGGGTTCAAAGAGTTCCAGAATTTGATTGACCTCCGATCGGGTCTCAGTTCGTTGGGGATTGATTTCTATCTTATAACAGCACTTCGAACTCTTTAGCTTTAGTCCCTCATCCAACTCCCATCTTTTACTAGATTTTACTACTAGATAGCATCCATCTCTTCCAGTTCCAAGACTTCCCTTACATCTTCGTAAACTTCATCCTTATCCTTCTCAATCACAATGTCTCCTCCAGTTGCCACTGAAGCCATGTACAAACAGACTACTATCTCTCATGATGACCATCTTGCTGCTCTCGTATCGAAGGCAACTCTTGCCACCCCCAATACACCCGCTAAGGTGATCTTCAAGCCTGAACCTGTCGAGAACCTGAACCCTATCAAGTTTGCTCCTATCAAGGTATCCTATATTCCGCTCTTATTATATGTGTGATTTTATTGATTGATAAGTTAATGTTGCTGTGTTTGTTTATCAGGAGCACCAAGTTCAACGGGCTATGGTCCGTCGATACTTCAACGACATGGTTAGTATTTGTTTATGCGCTCTGCTCTACATCATCAGTCTGTCTTGATGTCTAAAGTATTCATTTATTCCTTGTTTTCAGGAGGAGCGAGCTATCTCCGATGTGATCATTGTCGGTGCTGGTTCAGCTGGTCTATCTTGCGCCTACGCGCTTGGAAAGGCACGACCGGATCTCAAGATCACTATCCTCGAGAGCGTGAGTTCCTCTACATCGGAAATTCCCTATATCATTTCTCTATTCCGCTGAACTGTTTGTGATGGTTTTAAATAGAATGTTGCCCCAGGTGGTGGTTGCTGGCTCGGTGGTCAACTCATGAGCGCCATGGTTTGCCGTAAACGTGAGTTGGAACTTGATTGATATGATGATATACATTGAGTACCAAGACTGACTTGATCAAATCCTTGGACAGCTGCCGATGAGTTTTTGGACGAGGTTGGAGTTCCATACGAAGATGAAGGAAACTTCGTGCGTAAAGATTTCTGACTTCTGCTCAGTGTCCAGCCGCTCCCACATCCTTATCAAGAATATTCTTTCTTACGGTCTCTTTCTCAGGTTGTCGTCAAGCACGCCGCTCTCTTTACCTCCACTGTCTTGTCAAAGGTTTTGGCTATGCCAAATGTCAAGATGTTCAACGCTACCGCATGCGAGGATTTGATCATCAAGTAAGCATCAGTCATTATAGTCTGGCTACGCGCCGCTATCAGGATCACTTATATATCACAAAAACAGGCCATGCCCGATCAACTCGGGAGCTCAACGTGTTGCTGGTTGTGTCACCAACTGGACTCTTGTCTCTCTTAACCACGATCACCAATCCTGCATGGACCCTTCTACCATCACTGCTCCAATTGTCTGTTCCTTTGCTGGACACGATGGACCATTCGGTGCTTTCTGTGTCAAGCGAATTGCATCAGCAGGTTTGAGTGAAGGTCTTGGAGACATGAGACCCCTTGACATGGAACGTGCCGAAGACCACATTGCCAACAAGACCCGAGAGATCATTCCTGGTCTTATTGTAGGTGGAATGGAATTGAGCGAGTTCGATGGAAGTGCTCGTATGGGACCAACCTTTGGTGCTATGCTTCTCTGTAAGTTTCGATCATCATTTCACAAAGTCTGTACTTGGATTCTAACGTTGATTTTCTTTTATTAGCCGGTCGCCGAGCTGCTGAAGTTACTATGCAATGTCTTGACCGAGTTAAAATCGAAGAAGGTGAAGTTGTAGGATTAGCTGCTTAGATATTTGTAAATACTATCGGTTATTAGCATGCTTCAGTATTCTTTTATATGATCTATATCTTGATCTTCATTGTGGTTGCCTTGTATCAGTGTTCTTTCTGGTTACCCGAAGATTTACTTGTATACACACATTTACTTATGTTGATTTGATCTTGCTTCTTCTTTCTATTGAGGCAAGTCAGATTTCAAAGTTCCTTGAAGTATATTCAACATCAGCAAAACCAAAAACCAAAAATACAAGAGGTTATGTAAAGAATCAAGCTAGTTGTACCAAAATTACAATCCATCTTTCCTACCACAGCCCACCACTGATAGGTGAAGGAGATGATCATCAGCTGAGTGGTAGAATCTTCGGCAACCAAGGTTTGGTCAGTATGATATCAAGTGCACACCTTTTATCCTCGACCTTCCTCAACATACACAATACAGTGTCATCAGTAACAGTTATTGTGAATTTTGTCAAACTTGAGGAATATTCTTTGAATTTTTCACATTTATGAACAACACCAAAGATCTATTACACTTCTGTTTAAAGGACTAAAGAGTATCTCATAAAAGCCCTTTGATATCCCTTCTACTTGTTTTCATTGTTCTATTCACTCTTTTCGGTTTGCATTTGTGGTCCGAAATGTGTGGGGTTTAGGCTTTATTTTTGCGGCTTCTTTTCTTTGACTGCCAGAAAATCTATCAAATCACTAGAGTTACTTTTAGAAGCTTAAGCTGGATACCAAAGGAGTTTCTAAAACCTTTGGCTGTATATACCAGAACTATGAATCCCACCCATTGTTTGATAAAAAATTAAAAAAGATTGAAAAAACAATTGAATCAGTATCAGTGGTCAAGTTTGAAATTTCCATCCTTGAGTTCCAAATACTCTGCCCCAAAAATGCAGTTTGTTGGCTAACTTGAAATACATGAAGTTCTTGATCACATGTACATACCTTTTTTTTTGGAAATCCACATATGAACTATGAAGGTTTTAAAAAGAATCACTTTAAATGAATTCAAGATTTCCCTTTCTCAAAAAAACCCGTTATGATTTATGAACATCAAATTCTTTATAAATCTTTTTTTCTTTTGATTTCTATCAAAAATAAAAAACCCAAAACCCAAACCCATAACAAACCCGGAATCAAAACAAGAAGAAGAAGAAGAAAAAAAAAAGAAAAAAACCAAAACACTCTTTCATGATGCCCTCCTTGCTAAAAGAAAAAAAAAATGCTAAGAAAAAAAGAAAATCTACCAAGAGGAAAAAAACCCTTTCTTACAAACCCCCCCCTTGGATTTTATCTACACACCAATACTTAAAAGAAGAAAGTAAAAGAAAAAAGGATTACAAGTAATTAAATACTTACAGAAAAAAGAAATTAATAAACAAGATTATAGATAGAGAAAAAGAAGAAATCCAAGAGAGATGAGAGCAAAAGAGATTAAAGGAAACTGTATACAAATTCATCGAGATGATAAACAAGAATCATAATCACAATGCCATAAAATATCAACAACAACAACAAAACTTCTATTCACTTTTAACTACTTGATTTTTTTGTGAGGAGGTATAGGATGAGATGATATGGTATCAAGAAAAAACATAAACAGAGTGATCACAAACTGGATTGGATACAAGTATAAATGATAAAGAGATATATGAAAAGTCTATAATTACGTTTTTAAAGAGTCATCTAAATTCCTCAAAATAAAGATATATAGATCTTTTGATTATGTTCCTTCAGTTGATGGATCTTGATGAAGTCCTGTACCCCATGATGTCATTGGATTTCCATTATTATGATAAGCACTCATTGGTACTGGTTGATCATTCCTAGGTTGAAATGGTGGTACGTTTGGGTACATTTGTAAAGAAGGTGAAGGTGAAGGTGAAGTTTGTTGATAATTATTATATGGTATGGGTTGTGGAATTTGTTGATGAGGTTGATTAAAATTCATAGGATGATTTGGAAATTGTGGATATCCCATGTATTGAGGTGTAGGTACCATCCAATTCTGTTGTGGATACATTGGTTGATTAAACATCATCTGTGGCATCAGATTTCCTGCATGTCCTATTCCAACACCACCGTTCATCATCGCTTGATGAGTTTGGGCCATTTGAAAAGGTTGCATATGCTGATAACCAAAAGGATGTTGAGGATAGTACTGATGAAGTGGATTGTTATGAGGCTGCTGCTGTTTATGTCTATTATCTCGTCCTCTCGGGCTTCCAATCAGGTTAGGGTCTTTGTAATTTGCTGAACCAGGTACAGCGACAGGATTGCCACCATCTCTAAATCCTGAGACTCTCATTCCCGGTAGAAGGGCATTTCCAGGACCACGACCAAGACCACCGGACGGATGTGATATCGTATTACGACCGCTAATGGCACCCGACATCAAACCTGGATGGCCACCGATTGGAATCGAAGCTGATCCAGGCATTCCGAGACCAAGACCACGGGGAAGAGCTGAGCCTGATGGTCCTGCGAGTGCAGAGCCAATCCGACCTGGTGGAGATCTTGGTCGAAGGGCTTCGATTTCTGGATATAGCATTATGGCGTCATTAGTCAAAAGTTCGCCAAAAATCCAAATAGATTCAGATAGGTTTATATGAAGTAGAAAACTCACCAGGACTTGAAGGGAGTAAATTTTGGATCCGTCCAGTTGGATCGAGAAAATGCGAGATATAGTCTTGTTTAACGTAGGGAGTGGGCCGATCGGTTATTGGGACTTCATCTGATAGCTGTGTCTCATCCGGAGCGCACTGAGTACCGATGGTGAACCAACCACGCCTCAAGGAGTGTTTAGATCCGAACAATTCTAATCGCCGCTGACCAAGACAAAAGTTCTCGATCACATTGTAAAGTTCCACAGGCTTATGAAGAGGATCTAAAGATCAGAGGATGTCAGAGAGTTTGAAACTGGTCCACTTTCATCCAAGATCGAAACATACCGTCTGGATCAGCATCAGCCACTACAACATCTGTATCCACATTGCAGTTGACAAAATGGCCATCCGTTGACCTCCTTACAGTACCACGAATGCCCATTAAACAATGCTCCTTTGTAGGCGTGAAAACTGTCTTAGTTTTTGAACTACCTTCAAGCTTGTCCGTCTGATCTCTTCGGTCGTGATTTGTTTTGACCCAAACTAAATCTTCACACTTCCGGTATCCCCATTTTGATAAGAGTGCTCTACCTTGTTCAAGACCTTTTCCTTGACCGGTACCACACCAAAGAAAGATGAATCCAGGACTTGCAGCAATCTGAGGAACTGGTAATGCCTCAAGTTCGTCCCATGTCCACCAAGGACGTTCAGCTTCTGGTGGACCACCACAAGTTGAATTAGGTGATTTGAGACTGATTTCTGGATACGATTCTGAATATTCTTGAAGAGGTGGATCGAGTACGATTACATCAAACCTTGAAGGATGAAGGTCTAAAAGATTAAAGTAATTTGGATGCGATGATCTTAATTCAGCTTGAAGATAAAAAGGTCGATGTGCATGATTTGTCACCACAGATTGTTTAAGTTCTAGTAATCTTTTTAGTTTAGGATGTTCAGCAAATCGAGTAGCCAGACCTGGGTTTTGAATTTGATTTTGAGGTCTTGATCCGGTAAGAACATAATGAAGTGAATAATCATTTCGAATAGTTTCTTCTTCTGGTATCTGTTTTGTGATAAGAATGAATCAAAGTAAAGTCAGAAAGATGAAATAAAATCACCAGAAAGATAAGATGATAAGATAGATCAAGTCAAATGATAAATAAATGAAAAGAAATATATAAGATCGAGCAGTACATAGTTAGGTCCGTAAGCAAGTCTTTTGAGTTTCTTACGTGTTGTGACTTGATCTTTCTTCCTGGGACTTTTCGAATGATCTTGATCGTGACTCGTAGTAGGTTGAAGAGATAGTAAGAGCCTTGGAGATGATGAAGATGGGTGATTTGGTAGAGAAGTCGTGTCCAAGTCGCTTATCATTTGCTCACCACTGCTGGCGGGCATGTTTTAATTTAATTCGGCTGAAATCGGTACACCAAGAAAAGATATGGCTAAGGCTGATTACGTTTTTCGATTAGAGAATAAATTCAAATGAGCTATGAGAGATGAAGATGAAGATTAATAAATATTAAAATTTAGTCGGATAGGTAAAGAGCAGAGAAGATAAGAAAGTGAACATACATTTGATTGAAAGTAGCAAATCTTGATGGTTGATGGTTTTGAGTTGATATGTATGTATGTGGTGATGAGTCTGCTTACTTTACTTCATCAAACAGTCAAGAGACGTTCAATCTTTCAAACGCTGAATGAAAACTTGATTTGATGAGTTCTCTTGATGGAAATCTAAACAACAATTTGGTATTTAAGTTCTACAACGATAATTCTTCAGTCTGGCTTTTCTATCACTACAAGTTCAACATACATACATACAAGCACCTTATACTTAATTTCTATCGTCATCCCTACACAACATTCTCCATTCAACTTTCACTTTGCATTCTCATCGTCACTTCATTCTCACTCATCATCTTCATCATCTCAATTCACCACCAATGCCAACCAAACCATGTTAAAAACAGCCTTATCAACACCAGCCCGTATCAATCCTAACGTGTCAGATCACCAATGAGACTGTTTGCAAACATAACTGCTTCGGACTTTGCAACACTTAAAAACTTTATCAATCCATTAAACTTCATCAATCTCTCACGCCCGCTAGCGAGCCGGTCTCAGTGTACAAATACAAATAAACTGACTTTCTTCAAGTCTCATCAGGTTTCTCGATATAAATAAATCTAAAATCCGCCCGGTTCATTTCGTGCCGATCTCTGTTACACGTTTTAAAAAGTCCTTCAACGCTTCCCGACGGTTGAACTCACGGCTGAACCTAAATATCCCTTTGTCAAAGGTCGTCCTTCCTAGGACGATTTCACGTACATGTGTTGTCTTACAGCTACATCATGACAATAAATGATGCTAGCGCAGGAGTCAGCTAGATTTCTAG